CAAATTCTAAATTCCAAAATCTCCAAAATCCCAAATTCTCCAAATTCCAACATCTCAAAATTCCTAAATTCTCTAAATCCTGAAATCCCCAAAATCCCCCAAATGCAAAAAATTCACAAATTCCCAAATCCCAGAACTCTCAAATCCCAAATTCTCCAAATTCCAAAATCTCCAAAATCCTAAATTCTCTAAATCCTGAAATCCCTAAAATCCTCCAAATGCCAAAAATTCCCAAATTCCCAAATCCCAGAACTCTCAAATCCCAAATTCTCCAAATTCCAACATCTCAAAATTCCTAAATTCTCTAAATCTTGAAATCCCCAAAATCCCCCAAATGCCAAAAATTCACAAATTCCCAAATCCCAGAACTCTCAAATCCTAAATTCTCCAAATTCCAGAATCTTCAAAATCCTAAATTCTCTAAATTCTGAAATCCCTAAAATTCTCCAAATGCCAAAAATTCCCAAATTCCCAAAATTCTCAAATCCCAAATTCTCCAAAATCCTGAATTTTCTAAATCTTGAAATCCCCAAACTCCCAACTCCACCAAACCTCCACCACACAAACCCTTCCATTGTCGAACAACATCTCGAGCAACCGTAAAAAATCACCAAAGAACCTGAAATAAACTATCGGATAAATAAACGTCCGGGTTATTTAAACTGCGCGATTAGTGGAGGACGATAATATTTACAGAATGTCGACATTACCGGAGCCATTCGAGAAGAAGAGAACGAACCTCTTAATCACCGTTAGAATTTCTCTGGAAATGGAGGGTCAGAGCCGATAGGAAGTCTATTCGAGAGGAAACTGCTGGTGCTTCGATCACCGAGAAAATGGTCTTTCATCGACGCACTAATTCGACGGTTACATGGCAGCTTCCTGCCAACTAAGCAATCGTAGCTACGGAGTTAGTGTACCCGGTTACGCTACGTGTACATGGGATTCCTTGGGTTTACACAACACGGAGATGGACACAAAGCTGCATCCTCGTTGTTGGACGCAACAGCTTCGGACGGAAGTGCTCGGCTTCCGCTGTTTAAAAAGACAATGCGGTCGTCAGGGGGATTTGGAGTTTTTGGAGATGGGATTTCGGGATGGGTTTTTGGGAAGTTTGGAAGTTTGGGATTTGGAATTTTGAGAATTTTAGTGAGGGGTATTGGGAATTCGGGGATTCGGAATTTTGGGAATTTTGGTTATGAATATTGTGATTTTGGGAATTGGGAAGTTTGGTATGTTTGGAATTAGATATTGTGATTTTGGAGATTTGGAATTTTTATATTTTCGGTGTTGGGTATTGTGATTTTGGAGATTTGGAATTTTTGTATTTTCAGTATTAGGTATTATAGTGAATTGTGATTTAGGAGATTTGGAATTTTGGTATTTTCAGTATTAGGAATTATGGTGAATTGTGATTTGGAAGGGTTAGAATTTTAGTATTTTTAATATTGGGATTTGTGGTGAATTGCATTTTTGGGGATTGACAATTTTGGCATTTTCAGTATTAGGAATTATGGTGAATTGTGATTTGGAAGGTTTAGAATTTTGGTATTTTTAGTATTAGGAATTGTGGTAATTAGTGATTTGGGGGATTTTGGAATTTTTACACTTTTAGTATTGGACATTGTGATTTTGGGGATTTTGAATTTTAGTATTTTTAGTATTGGAAATTGTGGTAAATTGTGATTTTGGGAAGTGAAAATTTTGGTATCTTTGGAATTGGATATTGTGATTTTGGATATTTGAAAATTTTTGTATTTTTGATTTTGGGTATTGGAATTTTGGTATTTTTGGTGTTGGAAATTGCAATTTTGGGGATTTGAAATTTTGATGTATTTAGTGCTGAATATTGTGATTTTGGAGATTTGGAATTTTAGTACTCTTTAGTGTTGGGTATTGTGATTTCTGGGATTTGAAATTTTGGTATTTTTAGTGTTGGAAATTGCGATTTTGGGGATTTGGAAATTTACCATTTTTAGCATTGGGTATGGTGATTTTGGTACTTTGAGAATTTGGAATTACAGGAAATTGGAATTTTGAGAATTTAGAGTTTTTGGAATTTGGCATTTGAGGAATGTGGAATTTTGGAAATTTGGTATTTTTAGTATTCGATATTTTGAGAATTTGGAATTATAGAAAATTAGAATTTTGAGAATTTAAGAGTTTGAGAGTATGATTTTGAGAATTTGAGAATTGAAGAATTGAAGAATTAAAGAATTGGAGAATTGGAAAATTTGAGAAGTTGAGAATTTGGGAATTTGAGACTGTGATAATTTAAGAATTTGAGAATTTGTGAATTATAGAATTTAAGAGTTTTAGAATTTGAGTATTGTAGAGTTTGTGCAGTTACGAATTTGAGAATTTGAAATCTTTAAACCTTGACACTTTGCGAACCTGAAAAGTTTGAGAATTTCAGTCATTTAATTATATAACAATATGAGACTTTAGAACCATCAAATTGTGAGAACTTGACCAAATATATAAATCTTAACATTTCTGACCCCATAATTCTCCAAACATCTAAATTTTCTCAAACTTATCAAATTTCCCAATTTCAAGTTAAAATCTAATTACAATTCACATAACCAACTATCGCTTAAAACATACCTAAAATTTCCATGTCTTATTTCTCCAAATAGTTCACATTAACTTCAAACGGACGCTCCCAAATCATACGCTTCAATCGCAACTTCATACCAAGTTACAATTTACATCGTCAAGACTACGCAAGACTACACATTCACATCCCCAATATTTTCCCTTCTATACTGCCGCAGTTCACAGTAACTTCTCCCTGACGCACCCTCCAAATGAACCATAAAGCAGGGTGTCAATTCGTAGCGCAAACAGTCCATCAAAGGAAATCCAATGAAGTTTTCTTCCATCGCGCATTCCCAGATGTGCGAGCTAACCTAACCGGACTGAATCCTTGGGTCATATCCGTCCGGTATCGTCCATTTTAAATCGCAACTGCTATAACGCTCTGTGCTACTTTAATCCTAAGCACTAGGTTCACAGACGAGGCTGCTGCAGACGGAAGTTCGGATCGCACGGACGGGGATAGAAAGACCCAATTACATCTCGTTCCCCTAGAATCGGACGAATGCATACAAGACGCTTAAGACGCTTTAACTACCTTGGGATTTGTACCGGCGTTCTCTAACCGTCGAGATTCGTTTAAGTGCCGACCTCTATCAATCACCGGTGCCTCTAGCTTCCGCATTCCGCGACTATAAATTCATGAAATTCAGCTTGTTGGATGGAAATTGTTTCGGATCTCGCGATTGTCTATAGAACCATCTGACTGTTGCACGGGTGTATGCTTCGGAGATATAGTTACGTTATTGGCTTCGCGACTGCTTCGCCTGAAGCTCATCTGCAGTCGCTGATCAAATTATTGCCGGAAGTTAGGGATGTCAGGATCTGACGTAGGGATTTAGGAATATGGGGCTCTGGGAATTTTGGGATAGCTGGATGTAAGAAGGTTGGGATGATCTGAATTTGGGGTTGTCTAAGTTTGACAATGTTTGGAGATATTTGAGTATGAGGATTTTTAGTTGTGGAGATATTTGAAGGATAGGACATCTGCATTTAGGTATACCCAGATGTTGAGATATCTAAGTTCAAAAATATTTACATGTAGAGATATGTGAATATAAGGACGTCTGGGAACATAGACATATGTTGATGTAGGGATATGTGGATGTTGGGATGTCTAAATCAAAGAATATCTACATGTAGAGATATGTGGATATAAAGATGTCTAGATGTGTGGATGTCTAGATATAAGGATGTCTGGGTACATAAGTACATGTGGATATAAGGATATCTGGATGATAAGACATCCACATGTAGGTATATCCAGATATTGAGATATCCAAGTTCAAAAATATCTACATGTAGAGATATGTGAATATAAGGATGTCTGGATACATAGGTACATGTGGATATAAGGATATCTGGATGATAGGACATCCACATGTAGGTATATCCAGATGTTGAGATATACAAGTTCAAAAATATCTACATGTAGAAATATATGAATATAAGGATGTTTGATATCTAGATGTTCTAATTCTAAGTCTAGACATCTAATTATATCTGAATCCAACGACATCTTCGTCTAGGAATATCTTGGTCTATGAATGCATAAATACCGCCGGCATTTTATATATAATCGAACAGCAATAATAACCTCCCTAAACTAAATTTTCACCAGAGAACCTTGAAAGTTGCACATATGATCCCACAAATAGCTTAATACTAAAATTAACCTTCCTACTTAATTCAATGATATTTAAACGATTAAAATTTTCGTTGCAGGTCGAACTTAATGCAGCTGACCGATCCCCAACCCAAGAAGCAGATTAACGTATCCTGACACTCTAACCAGCCTATTTGGCATCCAAAAGTGTAGTGACAGTGTGTAAAAAAACAATTAAGTGTCCGAAACGTTGAATCTCGTGAAGTGAACCGAGTGAAAGTGAACTCTGACTGACAGGAAACTGATCGAAACTGAGTGCAAGTTCCAGTGGAACTCGATAGTTCTAACACTCGGCGACATTAAAACTTTGGAGGAATATAAATTATGTCCAGTTCCGTTAAAACCTTACAAATGAATTCGACGAATCGATAGTGCGCGACCGTAAATCCAAGTCCAGATCGGACCCGGTGTGTCTGATGAATAATACAATTCTTCCGGTCGCGTTGGATCCTCAGTCAGCGAACGGAAAGCTTCGAACCGAATCGTAGAATCCTTATCGACTGACACGGTGAGATATCCTTTTCTCGCATCCTTCTCTGACCGGTCTTTTCTGACGGGTATCCTTTTCCGGAGCATCCTCGGCAACGTATTCTTTTCGTATCCCTTTAACGTCGCTCGGCGTTAACGTTGATTCAGCAGGGATACTTAAAGAGGCGACGTGCACGATGAGTGATAAATCAAGTGCAAAATCGTCGGAGCATTGAGCCGTGCTCGAGAAGTGATACAGCGATCAGTTATGATCGTGGACGGTGATTTGCGTACGGAACAAGTAAGTTAAAGAAGAGTAACCAAAGGGTGACAGTGATGTGGGTGAATCCGGATCGTGATTTCAAAGGTCTCTTACGATCTCTGTGAGTAATTGATAAGGAGATCGAGGTGTGTTTACGTTCTTGTTCGCGGGAGGAGAGGGATAAACGTCGAGGAACAGAGGGAAAGGAAGAGTGACAGAATGAAGGACCGTCGTAGAAGATGGCTGTTCGCCGCGCTACCATTAATCACCTTCTTCTCGCATCAAATCGGTGAGTTTCCATTCGTTTTACTCGATGATCGACCCGTGACTTCACTCAATCTCGGTTTCGAAATATCTTCACGAATTTTAGGTTAACTTTGAGGGCTCTGGGGATTCGATTAAAGATATCTTTAATGGGAACCGACATTTTGTTGTCACGCAACTGATGTTCTTGAAAAGATGATACAAGAGGGAATATTGTTCTTCGATATTGCATAATATAAAATTGGAAATATAGTAGACAAATAAGTAATAAAAAATTAATTTTTTATTTTGAGAATAGTCGACATAGACTTCGAAATATCTTCACATATTTTGTAACTTAAAATAAACTTGCGAAACAATTTTGACAAGTTGGGTGATTTTAGCGTTAAAATTACAAATCTGTTTGCTAAATTAGGTTTGATTGTTCAGTTCAATTATTTTATTTGTTAAATTTAATTAAATTAAACTAGTTATTTGAATTTGAATCAAATTAACTTAAATTAACGTGGAAGTTAAATTAACTTAGTTTATTTATAAATTAAATTAAATTATATTAGATAAATTGTTAAATTATTTTATTTGTCAAATTGAATTAAATTAAGTTAGTTGAATTGTTAAATTAACTTAGTTTATTTGTAAAATTAAATTAAATTAAATTAAATTTGATAAATTGTTAAATTGAATTAAATTAAGTTAGTTGAATTGTTAAATTAACTTAGTTTATATGTCAGATTAAATTAAATTAAATTAAATATTTGAATAGTCGAATTAAATTAAATTAAATTGAATTGTTAAATTAGGATAGTTTCAGTGTTAAAAGTTAAAATTTGATGATCAAATTCACTTTAGTGTTTGATGCAGAAATATTAATATATTTATTATAGCAATACGATGTAAACAGATTAGTAAGTTTATATAAAATTTTCTTTGTTTCGAGGAATAATTAGCATATTAAATTGTTGAGGTCCTTTCGAATTGTATTGATAATAACGAGATCAAAGGCATGTATTTAATCTTTCGAAATCAGCTAACATTCCAATATCGTAATTTTCAGATAATGCATATTATAATATCATCAATGATTGAATAACCAATTGAACAATTACCGATATGATGTAGGTTCTGATCAGAATATTAGTGCGTTCAGAACTGATTAATACTTTTATTCGACGTGATAAAAAATATATTTGAATCTACTGATTTTCTGGTTCAATCTGTTTAGGAATAATCTCTTTTCAGATTTCTTCCAAATTTAATATAATTTTAGTCTAAAATTAATTTAGGTTAAATTGTACTTTCAACATAATTTGCAATAATTATAATTCATTTAATTTTCATGAAATCATAAGAATTTGATTATTTAGAATGAAATAATTAAAATTAATTTAGGTTAAAATAATTGAATAAAGTTAATTGCAAACGTAGATTAAAGTAACTATAATTATATTAATTGTTAATTTAGATTTAAATAATTATAATTAATTTAATTTTTCATAAATCTAAAATTTGAAGTAATTTTAGTTGCTTCAATTTTCCATAAATCCAAAGAGATTGACATAATCTTAATTGCTTGAATTTTAATAAATCTAAAAATAGAAATAACTGTAATTACTTCATTTCTTAATTTAAACTAACATTATTACATTACATTACAATTTCTATTACATCATGATTAACCTATAAAATAAATTCCAATTAATTATATATTTTAATAGATAAAACAAAATATTGTGCACACACGTGACTATTTTTGCAAAATTTAAAGACTTATAAACTTTTAATGGAATGTCCCTAAAAAATTATACATATAATAATAATTCTTCAGGAACAAAAATAAAATTGAAAATATTGAAAAGATAAAAATAAAGTGAAGATTTGATGACAAAAAACCCATGACCTCCTTCGAAATATTTGATATGTATACATTGTATGTGTAATGTATTCTTGTTATACGATTTTTACTGCAATATTACGCAGTGCACGAAATGCAATTTTTCACTCAGACATTTCTCGTGACCAAAAATTGCGGTGAAGGAGGAAACAAATTTCAACAACGCTCGATTGATTTATGAAAAAATACACCGATGAATACTTAAAACGTGCGAGAACAACAGAATATTACATAATGTCATCTACTCTCATAAATTTGAAGACGTTGTTATTACCTTTACTTTTCGCGTTCAATACAAATTTTATTCATTTTTACTTTATTGATATTTTCAGTAAGATTTTTATTGTATTTCTGTACTTATTTTTAGTAAATATTTACTTCGTGCTCAGTTTTATAATTTATTATAGTTTGTATTACAACTGAACAAATAATAGAATATTTTATATTAGACGGATTTTATTTTATTTCTTTTCTATCTTTTTATTCTGATTTTATTTGGGGGTTAGAATATTCTGTATTATAATATAATAAATATTTTAAGGTTATGTTTCATAATTTAACAAATTTTATAATGCTTTATAGCATAACCTAACTAGCATTATAATACTTTGTATCAGAACCTAACAAATATTTTAATATACTGTATTATAATTCAACAAGTATTCTGCACCATAACTTAACAAGTATTATAATATTCTGTGTTATAACGTAACAAATATTATAATACACTATATTTCAACCTAACAAGGATTGTAATACAATGTATTACAAGCTAACAAATAATTAAATATTTTAAATTATAGTTCAATAAATATTCTGCACCATAACCTAACAAGTATTATAATATTATGTGTTATAACGTAACAAATATTATAATACACTATATTTCAACCTAACAAGGATTATAATACAATGTATCACAAGCTAACAAATATTTTAATATTCCATATTAGAGTTCAACAAATATTCTGTGTCATAACTTAACAAATATTATACCCCAACAAATATTATAACATTCTGTGTTATAAAGCAACAAGTATTATAATACTTTGTACCATAACCTAACAAATATCGTGACTTAACAAATATTTTATATTAAAACTCAACAGATATTACAATATTTTATAAAGTAACATAACAAATATTATAGCATTCCGTATTATAACCTAACAAATATTATAGTATCCTACATAACCTAACCCAACCTAAAAAATATAATACCACTCTGTATTATAACCTAAATATTACAATGTTCCATATAACAACTTAACATATATTTTATATTACAACTTAATAGATATTATAATATTGTACAACGTAATATAACAAATATTACAACATCCTGTATTATTACCTGACAAATATTATAATATGCTACATAACCTAACCTAACCTAAAAAATATAATACCACTCTGTATTATAACCTAAATATTACAATGTTCCATATCACAACTTAACATATATTTTATATTAAAACTTAACAGATATTATAATATTATAAAACGTAATATAACAAATATTACAACATCCTGTATTATTACCTGACAAATATTATAATATGCTACATAACCTAACCTAACCTAAAAAATATAATACCACTCTGTATTATAACCTAAATATTACAATGTTCCATATCACAACTGAACAAGTATTATGTATTAATACTTAACAGATATTATAATATTATAAAACGTAATATAACAAATATTACAACATCCTGTATTATTACCTGACAAATATTATAATATGCTACATAACCTAACCTAACCTAAAAAATATAATACCACTCTGTATTATAACCTAAATATTACAATGTTCCATATCACAACTTAACATATATTTTATATTAAAACTTAACAGATATTATAATATTATAAAACGTAATATAACAAATATTACAACATCCTGTATTATTACCTGACAAATATTATAATATGCTACATAACCCAACCTAACCTAAAAAATATAATGCCACTCTGTACCTCAACGAATATTACAATATGCCATATTATAATTTAACAAATATTCCGAATTAAAATCTAACAAATATCGAAATTCAATCCAACAAAAATCTAATAAATATCAAAATTCAATCCAACAAAATTCTATATTATAACCTAAAAATTTTTGCAATCCAACAACTAAATATTTGATAGCCAAAATAAATGATCACAGTACAAAAATTTATACAAAGTCCACCCAGGTAAAAACTGCCTAAAGAATTAGTAATTTTTTAATGTATCAATTTTCCATTTTCTAATACCTTCTCTGCTACTCAATACGTTAGTCGAATATTCACATATTCCTTTTGCGTTTATTAAAACGTGTACATTACCCGAGCTTCAATTTACGAAATTTTACTAAATTACGAAGGTTCCATCGCCATGTTAATAGAATATTAACCAATTTCACATTCGTCGTGAGCCGTTAAAACCAGGGATTCATCGCAATCCGATTACAACTTCTGTCACTGAGCAGAGAAAAATGTTAAGTTTACTTAATCCTACAGTTATACTACTTCCGATGTGTTATACGGCATTATTCGCGCTAACAGTAACGTTTTAATGACACAAAGAAAATTATTAATACGTATTAAAAACGTTATTCATATGAAGGTGAATTATTGATGTGAAGGTGAATTATTGATGTGGAAGTTCAAGAGTATTAACATTCTTACTAGCTTATGTTACAGAAGAGATATCTGTTACTTTTCTGTGCTATATTTTCTATCTTGTTTTTCATTAACATATTAACAGCAATGCTAAAGTTAAGAAATTTCAATTTTTACTGGTAATTTAGAAGTTTAAAAAATAATAAAAGTTGCTATTATTTGTAATTTAAGAAGGGTAGTAATTTACGTTAAAACTGAAAAATTTATATAGTAATATAAATTTAGGCAGTAAAATAAAATTAAATAAAATTTAACAAGTCTATATTTGTAGTTTGCAACCTTCTTACAAAATTTACAATTTACAAATGTACAATCTATTTGCAAAATTTAAAATTTTGATACATCAATACTAAAATTTGTGATGTGCCCTATACCATAAAATTTGAAATTTACTACCGATAAATCTATATTATATTTATACGTCTAATAAACGCATACCATTGTCTTAAAAATCTCCTCAAA